GGGGGGGGGGGGGGGGGGGGGGGCGGGCGCAGAACCAGGAAAACCCCCCTAACAGTATAACATGAGAAATCTGAAGCTGCAGAACTCACAAAACTCTCTAAACCATTTACTGCATTCAAATGTATTCCCCTACTTGGCATTAACACTTGTTGCATATTTCCAAGTATGCTCATTTGTTTATTTTAAGAACTCCCAAATGGAGCACAAACGGCAAAAATGCATCCCTATGTGCTGTCCAGAGCACTAGGAGGCACTGTCATTCTGTGGCTTCCCTTCCCTACTACATCCACAGGGAGTAGTATCCCAGTATCAGTCACATTTTCTAGGATTGCTCCCTTTTCCCAGACCACCTCAGCTTCATCCAACACACACTGCATTATATTATACTTTGATTAAATATATGTTGATGTGACATGTTACTGAATGTTTGGACCCAAATCAGTTGATGTGTTGAACGTACTGTGTATTTTAACTCTATCACTTGTCATGGTCATCAGACTAGCTTAAACTGAGGACTAACTCCAGTAGAGGGTATCTCAACTAAAGTAAAACAGCAGCAGAGGTTGGAAGAGATTTTTTCGTAAGATTCAGCAAAGGCAGATAGATTGCATTGTGGCTTCATGGAAAAATTTAGAATATATGCATTCCCCTGAAAAATGTATTTCCTAGAAACAAGAGTTCACCAGACCCACATCTGAAATGTGAAAATATCTGAATCAAAGCTTTTTGAATACTGAAAAGCTCCTAAATTCAAACAAAGACTGTCCAAATTCACATATGGGTTTGGACCTCACTTATTCCACTTTGCTTTACACCTCAAAGTTGTCACAGAGAGGACAAACTTTCAGGTGCAATTAGGCTGGAAGAGGCACTCCAGAAGCACACTGGACATGGTCCAGCTGCTAATGGGCATTCAGTCCATGGTACCAGGCTGAAGTGACTACACAGGAAGCCTTCTCTGAAACATGCACTAAAAACATAAGGTCCTTGGCACGAACCTGTGCAAATGGCCCACACTACCTGCTAACATGATCACGGAGCAGTTGTAATAGGCTTGGCTTAGGGTAGTAAAAAAGAACCTGTGGTTCTTTGTAGTGTTTCGTGGTATTATGTCCTGAAGCACTAACTATGTGAAGCAGGCATCCTTTGAACACAGCAACCTCGACGACCTCAGGAATTACAGCTACAGTCTGATGCAACATGCTAAAGTTTGTGTTGCAACATGGCAGAGTCAAAAGGTGAAAAATTAAATTAAAAAGTACTGTAGAAGTCCTTCTGTTTTTTTTTTTTAAGATACTGTGTATAAAGACCCATGCATACCTATAAAATAATCTGGTCCAATTTTTAATCCTCTGTATCTCTTCTTCTTCCCATCACTACACTGCAGTGACAAAACATTCTTTCCCTTCTCAATATGTCGAAATGAGACTAATCTACACTAATCAAACCAGTGAACTCTTCCAGAGCTGTAGATCCGAAGAACTCTTAAGATATAGATTATGTTCCATACTCTGCTGATACTCAGAGACACTAATAGCAAACAACCTACAAAATTCTTGTGACAATGCAAGAAGGAACTAATTACATTTGTTGAAGGTTTTTTCATTTAGTCCATGAAAGTTGTTGAAAATAATTTATTTATTCAATTTCCAGTCTGAAGGAAAAAAAAAAAAAAGAAAAATAATCACCCAACCACTGATAATTCTACCATCCACAAAATTTTAGAAGTGAACAATGAATTCTACATTTGCTGAGGTTTTTTATGTTAATCCATTTTTTCTTCCAATTTCTTTTTCTTAAAGGGGGAGGGGAAAAAACCTCAGACTACTTGACTGTAAAAGGGATGAGTTTGGCTTGAACAGCACATTCCTCCAATGGAATGTGGTAGCTCCATGATAAATATGTATAAACTTAGCAGTTTCCTCTACTAACAACCATCTTTTTATATTAGATTCTAATTTAATGCCATTATTATTAGGCATTTTATTGTCTCCTAGTTTGTGACACATTGTTATTGCACAATACTAGTTTACACCTTAGATAATCCCAGTTTGTGGGTTAATATATTCTATTCAACACTTCAAAAACAGTAAACAAAACCAGCTCAGCTATGCAGCAAAATCTACCAAACCACACAGATGGTTATAAGCTTTTCATTGTGTGGTTTCCATAGCAATCATATTGCAAATCTGGAAGCTACTTGCAAATAAGCAGCTTGTATTTACAAGCCTATGGGCTGCAGCATGGAACACAACAACATGTGCAGTTATTATTCTGATCACATATTGTTAGAAAAATCATTGGAAGATGTTTTGACCAGTTCAGATAAAAACTACTGCAGTGAACTAATTTTTCATCTATTTCATAATGATGTGAGCAATCACACACTTGTAATACACATTCATAATCTTCATGTTCATTTGAAATCTCACTGTGGTGTCAGAAGGTCATAAGCATACAAACAGGGCTTGTAAGAGAGACCCCTTACAAAAACACTTGTATTAGTAAACAATCAACTAAAAAAACTCTCATAGTTTCTTTACTATTGTACTTGGCAGGAATGACAGATGCATGAAAAAAAACAGGTGTGTACATGAACTCTGCTGACACTGAGTATCACGGGTCTACACTGCTTTGCGCATGAAAAAGTAAAAGACACAATGGCATGTTAACACCAAGAGTATTACTCCTACACACTGCTTTTTTGCTACCAAATAATGATTCTGCACAAATGCAAACGAGAACTTTTGAACCCAAATAAGTGCTTACCACAGAAAAGAGTCAAGACCTTTTCTCTCACAGATTTATAATTTTATGAATTGACACCCCCCCCAACAGATGGGTTATTTCTCTAATAAGAAACATAACTCAACCCAGCTGTATAATTTTTTTAAAAATTAGCAAAAACTGGCTTTTTTTATAAACGAATGTTTGTTTGGAGAAACATTTAATATTTCCAGAGAAGGAGCAATAAACACATAAAATTTAAGAACAAAATTGTTTGTATAATTTGGTCAAACTAACACCTTCTGCTAGCATTAGCAATGAGGGCTAGTGATCATCTCAGGTCAAAGGAATGAGTGTTAATGTCCTGGTTTATGCAGGGCCAGCAAGTTGCCTTAGCTGACAACAGTGCTCCCCTACCTTGGGGATGGGGTCCTCTGCAGTATTGTCACCATACATGCCTATACACTTCACCCAAACTTTTACAGTGTTTTAGCCTAAGCAGCTTGATAGCCCAGAAATCCTTAATGTATTGCTTTATCCTAGGCTTACTTGCCTTGATGTGTATTTATAATGGCAGGGATTTTCGTTTCTGGTGTCTTCTTTTAGACTCCAGATCCACTCACTCTGTAAGGAGAGATCTCCAAATTCAATTAGCAAAAGTCAAGTTTTGATAATCCTACAATATTCCCAGAGATCTCTCCCTTTCCCCCAGCTCCTCTCAGATATGGCAGATTACTGGAAGATTTACACACAGCTTCTTGACATTTCACCCTGCATTCCCATTAGCAGCCTAGTGTACTCTGTAAACAATGAAACAGCTTAGAAAAG